CATAAAACAGGACAGTGTCACGCACTACCACGATTCCTAAAAACAAGCGAAAATTTGTCCACAAAAACTTGAAACCGCACTGCAATTTACTTTCCTAGTTTCATTTCCTCCCTCTCTCTGCCTCCTAAAAGAATAAGGAAAAAATCTCATGGCAAAAAAACGCAGTAAAAATCTGTGAAGTGAGTTTCTAGATTCAAAATTTTTTTGGCAGTAAGTACTCTTCTTTACTAGGTGAAATTCGAAGCTAGCCGTAAAAGTACCACTAGTGCCGTACTGTAAATTCGGATTGGAGCAGCCAAATAATATTAAAAAAGAATTTTGAAAAAAGTCTAGGAGATCAGAAAGTCTTAACGAAAAGGTCTTAACTGATTGTCCAGGAACAGCCACCAGTGGATGGCTACCAATTCCGAAAAACAAAAAGCAAAAATGAACACTTTTCTACACGAAATTATAGGTAAAAGTTTGCTGGTAAAATGATATTCTGATTAATCCAACTCTACAGTATCAAGTTTTATGATTTTTTTTCGGGAGCAAGCTAAATCAAAAACACAAAATTCTGGAAGAGAAACACCTGCTCCAGAACAAACAATTGTCCTGTTTTAGTGTGATCAAGAGAATTAAAACTAATTAACTGACCGATAATTTTTAAGTGGTGATTTGTTTCTGAGCCATTCCACTTGTGGTGCTGGATTGCCAACAACACGTGCTTCCAGGATTATCTGCGAACCGGGCTTTAACGGCGAATTTCTCAGCTCCTTGAGGAACAAAGGCGCAGATGGGCCTACTGGCGTCTGCGGTGGAGCAGGCGAGCTTCTGCAAAATAGACGATTTTAAAAGCTCTGGAATTTAGTGGAAGTGCAGTAGTGAAATGTCGGTTATTTCCTCGAGTATTGGCACGAGCTTCCGTTAGCTTTTCCGACCCATTGTGGCCTCAAAGCAGTAATGGGCTGGGCAGTATCCGAGGTACGACGAGACGGAAATTCTGGTAGGTTCAGGGATGTCGAGAAGACAATGTGTTGCTTCTTATAGGTCAAACATGGGTGGCACGAACTAATGTTACTAATGTGGACTACCCACACTGATTGCTCGAACGATCTTGATATTTTTGATATTGACAAAAGAGTGAGTTGTGCAATAGCCGATTTGGTCGGATGTTAAAACACATTCTTTAGTGTACTCCGTCCTTTTGCGCCAAGGAATTCTTCAAGGATATAAAGTGCACAGCGAACTCCAGCCAAACTCACCTCCAGAACAATTTACGGAGAAAGGTGCTTGATGGTGAAAGTTAAACTGATTTTTTTTAAGTTACAACATACGTAAGCAAGAAAGGGAAGTTCCTTGCTCATATATGTCGCAATCGAGAAAATTTAGATTGTAGATTTACCCTCTACCGCTTTTTTGCTTTTTAATTTGTTGTTCCAGACCAACCTCTTCCTATACGTCTACTTTTGATTCGTTCAACTGCAGCTTTTCTTACTTTAATTTCTTATATACACTGTAATTTGTCTTAAAATCGTAACATTTTATATTTAATGATATTATTTTTACTTCTGTCTCCAATTTTAGCTAGAAAACAATACTTTAAATTGATAGCCCAATTTTGCGGCCAGCTTCCTTCCCATCCCTTACTGTTGTGAAGTAATGCCTGGCTTGATCCTTTTAACAGTATGCTGCTTCTCGAGCGGTATCGAAAAATGAACTGTGCGGGCACCGCAAGCGTTTTAAAAAGATGGACGTTTCATCGTTGTAAACGATGTGGCAGTTCCGCGATTTTGTCTATTTTACTGACTTCTCTCAGCAAGAAGTCCTGTCACGGTGCATAGGAAACTTATCCATGTTATATTCCAAGACAACTGTCTATCCTCCTAGGTTCCTACTGTTACTATTACCAGTACCAAACAAGCAATCTTACGCAACACTCTTGGCACCAGGAATAGGCGTTGGAGCTGGGGCGACCATGAGCATGCAAGTTGACTGCTTTGTGCCCGCTGCATTCATTGCCTGGATTGTAAATCGGCCATTATCTGCAGCCTGCACATTCCTGATTGCCAAATGATGCTTCACGCCAACGCTCGAAATCTGAGAAAGTCATGCTGAGGATGAATCGCAACAACGCAATGCAGTGTACATTCTGTAGTGAGAGAGCATCGAAATCTCTTCGCAAAGTGTAAGGGAAATTATGGAGTAGTGGCTCTTTTTCCTGTACGTGTAATCTTGTCCGATCTTAAACATTTCATTTGTTAGGCTCTGGATTTTTCAATGGTGTTCTGCGGTAGTGGCACCGAGGAGTAGGAAGACGAAGAAATTTGTTATACGAGAAAATTTCTTGTTCTTCGTTAAGAAAGCATCTGGGTGATGAACAAAAATACAAACAGTGAGCGAAAAATGGGAAATTCACACGGGTTACTGTAAAATTTAGCCAGAGAAGCGAAGAAACTTACTGCAAAATTGGATTCATAGCAGAAGTGAAGACGGTGCAGCGTAAAACTAGGACAGAAGTGGCATTTTTGGGCTGAGAACTTTTTACTGGCTAATAGCTTAGCTCAAAAGCTTCTTCCGTTCGGAAGGGACATTCCCATTCTACAGTATTCCTGAACTTTCTGTGTGAGAAGAGGAAATTTGTACATGACGCCATTC